TGCATATGTTGTATTTGACAGGTTTGTTTTTAGGTTTGGTCAGTACCATCTCATCTAATGTTGCCTATAATAATGTTCACACTACACTGAGCACAGGTGTGAATGTTAGTGTGAATGGTTCCTGGTATTTATATGTGGATCTGTAATTGATCCATACGGTTAGTGTTAGTGTTGGGATCAGATGAGAAAAATACCAAGTAAAACTCTGTCTTGTCATTGGATGCAATTATATTTTTTATTTATATAAATATATAAGAATGAAGTTGAAGAGAAGTGCAATAGAACTATATATAATTTCAGTCCTTACAGTGTGAGTTGTGAAACATGCTGCCCATATAAGACATAGGCGATGTTCATGATCAGACTGATCACAGCACCCTCAGCAGGGAAGGAGCAGCACAAACATGCACATGCCACAAAGGCTTCCTGACATGTTTTTCTGTTGTTGTTGTTGTTGTTGTTGCTGTTGTTGTTGTTGTTGTTGGGGGCCTTTTAGCAGCTTCATGCTCCTGCCTCCTGACCCAGACAACAGTTCTACAACATGTTGTACATGCAGAAAACCTGAAGGGAACACTGTAAATTTCTGAACCCCCTCCTGTGTAAACAGAGGATCAGGGAGGCTGAGTGGAGAAGGTATCTCTGTGTCCGGAGCAGAGCCGGGAGGATGTTCAATTAAACCTCACACGGTGAGACTTCTGCTTTGTTACTCCCCTAAGACTCCTCTCAGCTTGTAGTGAGGACTTGGAGGATGTAAACAGCAGATGGGGAGCGAGTTGTTCTGTTGCCTGAGTTTGTTCACTCACCAACAAAGTTTATTCAGATTGGAGTCAGTTCCTATTTGGTATTTAGTAAAGAAACAGCACTGGTTCTGCTGAGTAGATCCATGGAAGAATATCTGAGTTCAAAGTCATTTATTTATTATTTATATCAGGGGTTTATTTAATCGCTCACTGACAACTGCCTAACCATTCTCAGCGTAACCTGGGGCTAGACCAGATATGGGCAAACAAACGCCCGTGGGCCAGATGCGGCCCATTTGGCCTTTTAATCTGGCCCGCCAAACTTGTCGAAATGTTGTTATTAATTTATATGGGCATAATACTTCTGCCTTTTTCCTGCAATGCCGGTGTTGCAAAGCCTTTATGCATGACTTTTGAAAATTAACAGTAAATCGTTTTTACCGTCTGTTCAATGTTAAAACACAACAGTTTTTCCTTGAACAGGGCTTTGTATCTGTGCTTTTATGTAGTAAAAGCTTAGAAGTATTTAAGTTATACCTAGAGAAATATTACCTGATAGAAGAAAGAATTTCTGAAGGCGTTATTGGAATAGTTGTTCTTTGGGAGACTAGCAGCTATTTGTAAAGAAACAGCCGGAGTCTGTGAAAAGAACAAACACATGAGCTGCATATAAACAATACATATAATGATGTCAACCTGGGGAGTTACTGTGAAAGTGTTCAGTTTTTACAATATATAAATGTTACACAATAAAACTATAGAAATGTTTCATAATCCAAACTTCTTTAAAAGAAAGAAAAAACCACCAACTGCAACGGACTTTGATGACCAACCAGGTTTAGCTGACAGAGGGTTTCCAGCAGGTGGAGTCCATGCTGATAGACAACAAACTCTGTGGGGTGGAGGACAGATGAGTCCAGAGGGATCAGCTCTCCTTCACATTCCCACTGAGCGTCCAGGACGTCCATAAACCTGCTGCGTGAGTCTGGATAAGAGATGACACCATAACCACCACCACTGGTCATCAATGTAACACATCAACCTACAGACAGCTGCCCTCAGACACTGTCTCCACCTACTGTGCCGTGCATGTCACAACACACAGTGCAGTGAAAATCTTCATTAACTAAAGCTTCACTTCAGTGCCTACAGATCTGGGCAAAAAGAAACAAACCTTTTTCCAAATCTGAAGTTGCCCAGTCCGACTCCACTGGGGTGTTTTCAACATTTGTTAAGGGACCGTGGGAAAATCACGGACTAAATGTTCTCATTCTTTGCACTTTAATTTGCTCTACTTTGACTTTTCTGTACTGATATTACTGTTCTGCACCAACGGAGGTATTCTGTCTGTCCTAACTAATGGTTGTTATTGTTTATTGTACCTCTGCCTGGAACAGACGTCTCTTGTGTCTCATTGCGACCACGTACAAATAAAGGGCAAATAAAATAAAACCGATTGATGGTCATAACTTAGAGCCTGAAGTCAGTACTTTGATACTTGCTGGAACAATTGCCGTGACCTGGCAATGCAATTAGCTTCTTTTTGGTTCCTCAACACCAACAGAAATGTTTTGGATTTTTTTTGTCTGGGTTACCTTAGGTTATTTGAATTTGAGAGTCCCACAGGTGAAATAGTGACAATACATGGGTAAAAAAATAACTTTAGAAAAAGTGAAAATGAAGTTTAGCAACTACTTCCTTCAAACAGGCAGTGCTCGTCACATTGGATTTTTTTTTCTTTAAAGCTTATCCAAACTACTACTTTTTTTCTTTAAATTCACCAACCTCTCTCATGAATCCCTCAGTCAACATTATTATTTGGCTTCAGTGGTTGAATAGAAGTTTTATATGCAGTACCCTGTGATGTGATGTTTGTGGTAGTATCTGAAATTCCATATGTTTTTGATCTTGTGGGTTTGGTTTGTTTAACTAGGTTCTCCCGGGTCAAAGGTCGAGGTGCCATAAGAGAACAGAGCTTCATTTTAAATGTAAACCATGTGTTCTGTCTCAAAGTCAGGAGGACAATAACAAAAGTGAATCAGTGGGAACATAAAAACATTCACAGCTGTTCTCTTTAAATCACTGTAATTCCCATAAAACTGTTCTTAATTCCTAATAAACAGAGGGACTCAGTGCTGTTTCCCACTGTGGCACATATGATTTTTTTTTTTTGCTGCTCTCATTCTCTCTTTAGACCTTACCGATTCCAGCTGACCTACCGTTCAGCGCTCCGCTCAGAATCCTCGCCCCACAGGCCGATCCCCTCATCTGGAGCTCCACCCCCTTCAGCAGCTGGAACAGCGGTGAAAGCTCCAGCAGCTTGGTCCATTCTTCTTCTGTGGAAGAGAAGCTACTGTACATGAAGGTTCCAAAAGTAAATGAAGACCTGCTATACTAGAACACGTTTTCTGTCCTGAAGTTACCTGGAACAGCAGGCAGAGCGATGAGTGTGGGCTGAGTGTCGTTTTTTAGAGGCTGGTTCTCTGCAAAATAAAATGTCAAGTTAAACCGACGTTTGTCCAGTGAGGGGAAATGTTCCTGCGTCTGTTATTGGATATCATCTGTATAAGATGAATGTTTACACTTTAATTAGTATTTACAAATTATTGACATATTAAGTTTGTATAACTTTGAATAAAAGAAAGTTGGATTTTAGGTCCCACTGAAGAACAGGTTTCTCACCACAGTCAAATCGACTATATTTTAGAGAATTGCTATGAATATATTTATACATGTGTGCTGAAGAAACTGATCCTGTTGGTGTAGGGACTGACTGGGACTCTGCTGGTTTATGGTTTTAAGCCATTACATTGGTTGTAATATAATATATATTTTCTAAACCACTCATTTTAATTGATCAATTATGAACATTCCAATTATCTTTAGATACAGTGGGTCAGTGTGTGGTGAGACCTGCAGCACACTGCAGCCCCACAGTGACCGGATCAAGACAAGCTCTGGACTAGACCAAGGATTCAAAAGTGGTCTGACTTTAACGACTATAATGCACAGCCGTGTCGTCTCACCCTGGGACGAGTCTCCGGAGGACGCCGTCTGTCTCTGTGAGTTGTGCGTCGGCGCAGAGCTGGCCTGCAGACCGCTGTCCTGGGACGCAGGCAAATTGACAGGTTCCCTCAAAGACTGTGTGGAGATTCCTGTACAAGCACAAGGTCTCGTGAAAACATCGGCAGCCGCAGATGAGAGCGATTCATTTGAAAGAGCTCAGAGCTGTGAAAGTTTGTTCTGCAAAGTTATTCCTCTGAAGACGGCAGAGACATT